TTTTTTTTTTTTCTATTTTATATTATTTTACGTATATTTACACTTTTTTTTTTATTTTATATTATTCTTTTTAGTTATATTTATTTATTTACTTATACTATTTACTTGTTTTATTTTTTATATATTATTTTATTCTATTCGTTTGAAAAAATATTTGGAATAATTTTAACGATTGAACAAATCGATAAGTTGCAAAAAAAAAAAAAAAACGTAATTATTTATTTAAAATATAAAATGATCAAAATATTGATAAAATTCTAAAATTTTTTTTAGTTATATTTTACAATTGTTAATCTTAATAATCTGTAATTTAATTAATTTTAATATTTAATAATGAATTTAATATTCAACATACTTTTTGTTTTTGTTTTTAACGATCAGATATGGCAGAAGAGAGTTGTATAAGAATAGAAAAAAAAAGAAAAACCACATAACACTGATAATTAATAGGTAAATAATGAAATTATTGCAAAATATTAGCAATATTTTGGGAGTTATTAATTTTTTTTTTCCAAGAAGTCAAATTTTTTTTAAAAAAAAACTGTAACACTGATAATTAATAGGTAATTAAATGAAATTATTGCAAAATATTATCGATACTAATTTATTTTTACTAATAATAATAGCTATAGTGAGATAAATAAAATATCTTACTATGGAATTAATCAAAGAATTTTGAAAATTTAACACAACTATTGATTCTTTCTTGGAATATATTACTTTCTAGTTTATTAATGTATTCTAATTGGATCAATTTGTAAAATAAGTAAAATCATTTGAGTAATACTAAATTGAAATGCAATATATATTACTTATAATTTCGTATTTATATTTAGTGAAATATAAAAAGTGACTTTAAAAATTTGAACTAATTTGAATCATAAATTAGTACATCGTTTAATGATAATTAATTATAATTCACATTCCATAACTCTGAGGATGTTTCGAATTATTTATTACACTATAATAAAATGTGAAATAAACTTTAGTGTCCACTTTAAACTATCATAACCAACATTTAATCAATAATGTTAATGATAAAGATAAAATTTGAAATATTCGAAGTTACTTTTATTTTTCTTAACTCCAAAAATTAAAAATATACACCATGATAGAATAATTTTTAAATTTGAAATAAACCAAAAGATATTCGCTTAATTTTGAAATAATCTTTTAAAGAAAAACAAAAATTATTTTAAAAAAAAGGATTGAAATGGAAAAGGAAAAGAGAGAAAAGAAGAAAATCCAAAATGAAATAAACTATTGCTTAATTATTTTGCTAAATTAAAATTACGATTTATGCTATTAATCAGTGGTAAAGTTATTCCTAAAAATATTGAGTAAATTTAGTTGATTTAAATTTGATCATTTCAAAAAGATACTTGCAATCAGTATATTATAGAAAATTATTTATAAATATAAATTCAGATATTTCCCGAAAAAGAATATCCAGAATGTACCAATAGAAAGAACGGAAAAAACTGATTTTATTCAGTGCTAAGTTTAGAAAATTCAGATAATACGGAGGGGAAAAAAATTTTGTTGTAGCATGTTTGTTGTAGGCAAAAAATGCATGTAAAAAATGCATGTTTGTTGTAGGCAAAAAATGCATGTAAAAAATGCATTAGTAAAAAATGCATAGTAAAAAATGCATGTAAAAAATGC